TTCAGGTGAAATCATCCATCCTCCCTCAGAGCATGCCTCTCCTCGAATACTTGCTCGATGCCAGCTGGACCTATCCCAAGCTTTGCCAGACAAGTTGCTGGTTTTTGGTGTGAAGGACAGGGCTGGTATCTATCTGTGGAGACCTCCTGCCTAGAGGTCAACTGTTACACACGTAAACTCATCACAGGCTGAAAGCCACTCGCTGTTCACAGTCCTGGGATTATGAAGGACCTATCTGTGTAGGTTGGAAATCTCAGGGTTCATCTTAGACGAGTGATCAGCCATGGCCACTCATGTGTTTTTAGGCCACAGGATAGGCTTCCTGGGGGGGGGGGCGTCTCAGTGCTGAGGTTGACTTGCAGGAAGTGCAGTAGTGAAGTCTTCCAGGAAGGGGCTTGGGGGAGACAAAGCTCCATGACCCTCGGGGGTGTCCTCATGGAGGTTCTTCTGAGGATGCTGAGAGCATCCCTGGCTGTTTTCTTGGCAACACCCAGGCAGGTAGGGACCCAGGCCTTCTCTTCTGAGCCCTCCACGACAGCCACACCAGCTCACTGCATCGCCCCTAACTCACCGAATCCGTATCCAAGCAAGTTGACAATCGAGTTTAACTTGAGCACAAGTTTTGGTTACCTCCACAATGAACTTGCCCTTCTCCAGCCTGTGGGGCATTGGCTGGCCAGGATAACAGCACAAGGGTCCACAGCTGAGTCAGAACGGGGACTCACCCCAGCTGCCTGCAGAGCAGCTGATGTTCAGAGGGATAATCCCCAGGGAGGAGGCTTCAGGCTCAGCTCCAGCCTGATTTCTGAGTCCTGTGTCCAGGGCCCACGGCGGCTTCGCCACCAGAACCCCACCACCTAGTTCTGGCAGGCAGGCAGCACTGGCCAATTGCCCGTACTGTTTTGGGGTCTTAGGGATCCCCAACCTCAGGTCGCTCCCCTCGCCCTGGGATTTTCATCTAATAACGCGAGGCTTCTGAGAGCAGCCGTATCCACTCACAGGCTCGCATCTATCTGCTCAGGCTAACTGGGTTTTGCTTTTATTTTTAATGAGCTTGGCAAGAAGAAGCAGGTTCCCTTATGGCTTTTCATGCATCCCGAATCTGGATGAACTTCCCCCTTCCCCAGCCTGTCTCCTCACCATGTCCCAAGTAAGTTTATTTTAAAATGTTACTGTTACAACCCTCTGGAAAGGACAGCCCTTTTAACTACCTGGACTCTTCAGAACATATTTTAGATGTTAAGTAAAATGTAAAGGATGTCAGCACAAAATTCTTTCATCAGGACAGTAAGCACCGTCTAAAGACGTAACCCTCCCCCTCCCCTTTTGGGAAAGGGTCCAGTATAGCCCAGGTTATTCTAACTCATGCAGCCAAGGATGAGCTTGAATTGATTCTATTGTAGGCTCACTTTAAAAACAATGTATGACTCATAAATTAATTTTATACCTGTGCTCTGGGCTGATAAGAGACTAGACTGTGGAGAGACAAGAAGAAAATAATGTCTGAGACCCAAAGGCAAAGTGACTAAGGGAGGGCTGCCCTAAGTATTCTGTTAAAAACAGGGCACTTCAGGACCTGGAGGTGGCTCAGAGAGTGAGTGTTGTCATACAAGCATGAGGATCTGAGTTCAATCCCCTGAATCCACACAAAAAAAGCCTTATGTGGTAGTGATGCTTGGAATCTCAGTGCTAGGGAGATGGAGACAGGCAGATCTCTGGGGCTTACTGGTTAACCAGCCTGGCCTACTTGGTGAGTTGCAAAGTACTGAGTAACTATCTCAAGAATGGGGCTGGAGAGGTGGCTCAGTGGTTAACATACTTGCTGCTCTCGTAGAGGACCTGTGTTTGATTCCTAGCACCCACATGGTGGCTCATACCATCCACAATTTCCAATTGAGGGGATCTGATGCTGTCTTCTGACCCCCTAGGGTACCAGGCAGGCATGTGGTGCACAAACGTATGTGCAGGCAAAACATTCATACACATAATAAAAAAGCCAATTAGAAGGTGGGCGGTGCCTGAGGCATGATACTCTTGAGGTATCCTCTGACTTCCACATGTTCACACACGTGCATTCACCCACAGGCATGTACACATGTGCACTCACCAAAGGCATGTACACACACATGCACTCACCCACAGGCATGTAGACACATGTGCTCTTAAACATCCACATGCATGTACACACATGCACTCACCCACATGTACATTTTTCTTTTCACATGTAGGTTTTTTCCTTTGGTTTTTTTGGGGGGCTTATTTTGTGTATGACTTAGGTGGTTTGCTAGCATTCAACTTTAAGAAAAACAATGGCAGTTACTGATAAAACCCGGGGAGACAATTCAAGAGTCCGACCAGCTGCATGAGACGCTCGGTCAGCAGAGAGCTAGCCTGGCATGCAGGGGGCCCTGGGCTTGGCCCCAGCTCTAGTATATGTGCACAGCTTGGGATATGGCTCAGTGCCAGAGGGCCAGTAGCATGCCTAGGACCCTAGGATCAACCCCAGTACCAACAGAAAGAAAAAAAATTGACACATGATAATAGATAGTAATGCTTATGTGTTATAATGTGACATTTCAATACATGTACACAAAGTATAAGAATCCAGTCAGGATGAGGGGCACCTCATGGCTTCAGACACATCACTGCCTTGTGGTGGGGACCTTTCAAACACTGTCTACCCGACGTTCTGAAATTGTGACTGATACTTTCCAACCAGTTTTGACATCAGAGGCTGTTCCTTTGCCCTTCCTGTCCACCGCACCCCTGCACCCCCGCATCCCTGCCCCTGCCCCTCTGCCCCTGCCCGCTGCTCTTCCAGCCTGGCTGTCCCCTTCCCACTGTACACAGACCTTGGAGTCCTTCTCAGGCTGCACAGAGCCCTCTGTAAGGGACCGCAGCTTCAGGAGCTTTAGTTTATGGAGGGAGGGATAACTACACTCTTCCAGAGATTGTGACTTCATTCTCACTTTGACCACAGAGGACAGCCTGTTGTGCTGTGCTTAGGGTATCCCTGGGGTGCAAGCAGCATTATTTTGAACAGAGGTAGGTTAACACTGTTGTCTTTATTTATGTACAGCTAAATCATGTTAGCTACTGTACGCTAAAGGTTCATCATGGTTTGATTTTTTTTTTTTTTTAACCATTAAAAACTTTAAGACAGGCATGGTGGCACACGCCTTTAATCCCAGTACTTGGGAGGCAGAAACGGGCAGATCTCTGAATTTGAGGCCAGCCTGGTCTACAGAGTGAGTTCCAAATCAATCCGCTAACCAAATAAACTTTATCATACATGCCCGGGTGCCTGGCTTGTATGTATGTCTGTACACCATGTGTATGCTTGGTGCCTTCAAAGGGCAGAGAGGGCATCAGGTCCCCTGGAACTGGAGCTACAGTTGTGACCTACCTTTTGGTGCTGGGAATCGAACCCAGGTCTTCCAGAAGGACGGCCAGTGCTTTAACTGCTGACCCATCTCTCCAGCCCTGTGTTTGCTTCCTTGTGTTTTGAGGGAATGACTCTTGCACCTAGTTTGGCTCCCAGCACCTGAATTGCAGCCCATAGCCTTTGTAACTCCAGTACCCAGGGATCTAATGCCCTGTTCTGGCCTCCAAGGGCACCAGAGTGTATACCATGCTTTCATAGATGCAGGCAGTCACTCATACACTTAAAACAAACCCTAAAAAGCAGCTTAATCAGTTTGTTGCAGGGTGTGAGAGGTGAGCACGCTGAGCTCAAGAGCTTTCACGCCAAGCAGATTCTTTGGTCTGTAGCAATTTAATTTCTACTAAACGACATTATCATAAACATTAAACAAGCATTTTCTTTGGTTGTAAGTTAAGTGTTATAGTTGTGTAAGAGTTGAACACTGAGGATCTTTTTTTTTTTTTGGTCAGAACACCCACTGTGGGCTGGAGAGATGGCAGTTAAGAGCACTGACTGTTCTTCTAGAGGACCCAGCCAGCAGTTTAAACAGTCTGTAACTCCAGTTCCAGGGGATCTGGTACCCTTACAGGCATACATGCACGCAATACACCAATGCACATAAAAACACACAAACTTATTTTTTCAAAGAACACACATGGTGAGTCATTTCCCGATACTGGGAGAATAAAGCTATCCAAGCAGCTTTTGTCTTTCAAGGCCCCAAATTTTCAGTTATTAAACCCATGGGATGCCAGGGTCTTTCTTGTCCCCAGCTTGAGGCCTTTTTTCTTTTTTTGAGACAGGGTTTCTCTGTGGCTTTGGAGGCTGTCCTAGAACTCACTCTGTAGACCAGGCTGGCCTTAAAACGCACAGAGATCCTCCTGCCTCTGCCTCCCAAGTGCTGGGACTAAAGGCGTGATCCACCACCGCCAGGCTGTTCTGGGGTTCTTAACCTCGACTTTACTTCAGTATCAACTGAGCAGCTTTATAAGAAGGCCCACCTAGGAGGAGATGGCTCAGAGCTTAAGAGCTCTGCAGCTCTTCCAGAGGACTAGAGTTCGATTTCCCAACGCCCATGAGGTGCTTCACAACTATCTGGAATTCCAGTGCCAGGGCTCCTGCTTGCATGTGTTGTATCTAAACTCACACAGGCACCTTCAGGTACACGTAAAAATAGTAAGTAAATTTAAAAGAACCTACCTTAAGTGAGTATTATCAAGATATGTTATAGTCATGCATGAAAATATCAGTAGGGGCTGGCAGAGGGTTGCCTAGCATGTACCAAGTGCTGAACATCACCTAAAGTGGGCATGATGGCATGTGCTACAATTCCAAGGACCAGAAGGTCATCCTCAGCCACAGGAGACCCTGTCTAAACAGCCAATAGTGTCACAATGAAACCCATTATTTTATATAATTGATCCATGCTGAAACGCACCCAGTTTCAGATGATAGGGATACATAATGCAAACAATAACCAAAGGCAGCCACACCAACATCAGAGCCAAATATTAGACGGAAGTATGTCCACATATTTTCCACTGGGGTGAGCGATGAATCAAATACTATGTGGGACAAGTTTACATCAATAGATGATTTATTTGAAATGTCAGATGTGACTCAGGAATGCTGGGTATTGAGAGCTCAGGTGAGGCTAGCCCACTCACACCCAGGCTAAACTTAGATGAACTTTAAAAAGTAATTCAATTGAATGGTTGTTCTATTTTTATTTACTCCACCTGGCAGCTTTGCATGGTACATACTGCCTGCAACCATGACATCCATTTAAGAATCTTTTCCTTAAGCAATCTTGGTGGTGTACGCCTTTAATCCCAGCACTCAGGGTTAGGAGGACCTCCGAATTCCAGGCCAGCATGGTCCACACTCTCAATTCTCGGCCGGCCGGCCGGGACTGCACAGTGGGACCTTATTTCACTAAAGAAACAAGCACACACCGGTCAATGGTGGTTCACACCTTTAATCCTAGCATTCAGGAGGCAGACAAAGGTGGATCTCTGTGAGGCCAGCCTGGTCTATAGAAGGAGTTCCAGGACAGCCAGGGCTACAGAGAAAAGCCCTGTCTCAAAAGATAAAGATAAGAAGGGAGGAAGGAGGGAGGGAGGGAGGAAAGGAAGGAAGAAAAACGACAACACCCCAAACAAAGGATCAACAACCCTTTTCTTATATAGCAGCCAGCTGAGCCCAAAGAGGGTGACTTGTCTCCCTCTAGTGGCGAATCCCATCAATGCATGCGCTCTCCATGACCATGATTAAGGAGCACTCCCCAGGAGTCAGCTCTGAAGTCTCCAACAGTAGCAGAGAGACAAAGGGGAGAAGAAAAGGTCTTTATTTTCAGGGCCCACTGTAAAATGCTGTGCTTGCTCTTTCCAGGGAACACGCTATGGGTACGAAGCTGACTTCAACCTGAGAACGTGTGTGGTTCTTAGGATTTCACAGTGGATGCTACTGCATGCCGCAAGCCCATCGCCGGCTCTGTAAGTCGAATCTTAGAAAACTGAAACCTTGTATGGAACTGGGGATGTGGTACAGTACCAGCAACAAAAATGTTGTCTTGCATAACTAAGGGCTTGTCTTGCGAAAGGACCTGCCAGGGACACACAGTTGACCTCTCCTCTTTTCTCTACGATGGATCCAGAAAAACCTAGGGGTACGTGCGTGTGTGCGCATGCTCACTGTAAGCAATATTTAACTTCAAGCACCCATGGGTAGCGGTTGCAGTTTCTCTTTTCCCAATTTACCCTTCCCCACCGAAAGCCAGAATATCCGCCATGCCAACTCCCTTTCTTCATTCTTATCGGGCCTTTGTAGATTCTTCTGCAGACAAGGCTGAGGGGGTGAGGGTAGGGCAGGGATGTGCAGGGCACTAGGAAGAAACACTTTCTTGCCTCTGTTCTCTCAGATGGAGAAAGAGATACTGTTATCCTGTTAAGTAACCACTCCATCACCCAAATGCACATGGATTTAGGAAGCCCTCAGGGCTGGTAACTCTAAGCCCCAGAAAGGTTGTAAAAGCTGAAAGCTGTCTCAGGAGACTGCTCACTGGGCCAGTGCTTGATCTCTGAACACAAGGAACTGAAAACCTATACCAACACCTGACAGAAAGCCAGGCTTCACAGCGCATGCTCTATCCTAGCATCCGGGCAGACAGATCCCCAGAGCTACACTGGTCAACCACCCCAGCCAGAGCCTCCTCTTCAGTGAGAGCCTAACTCAGGTCCCGGTCAGACCTCCACACTCCGGCACAGGTATGTGACAGCGGCGTGCTCATATTCACGCACAGGTGTGCTCCCTCAGACAGACATGGAGGAGGGTTTCTCTGTGTAGCCCTGATGCTGCGGCCCTTTAATACAGTTCCTCACGCAGTGGTGACCAGTGGTGACCCCGGCCATGAAATTGTTGCTACTTCTAATTTTGCTACATTATGAATCATAATGTAAATACCCGATATACAGGATACCTGATAGGTGACCTCTGTGAAAGTATCTTTGACTCCCAACAACAAAGGCAGAGAATCACTGACTTAGGTGGCACCCTCTCTTGGTCTGTTGTTGGTGCCTGACCTTGGGCGGGCGGTGAAGTTTCTTCATGTTCCTAGGAAGAGTCAGGCCGCAGCCAGTGATCTGAGCGGTTGGGAGCTGAGGCAGGGGTATCCCAAATCAAAGCCTGGGGGGGCAACTGGGCCCTGTCACTGTCACTGAGTAACAGGTCACTTCTTAGGAAGGAGGATTTGTTTCCTCCACAGTGAGGAAGGGACCTGACAAGTACAAGTGTGTTCATCTCCTGAGTGTCCCGAGTCAGAGCAGAAGGGATGAGTGACTTCCAGGCACAGCAGTCTGGACCCAGGAAGTCAGCATCCTGCACAGCTCATTTCACCACGCATTCGCAGGATGCTGGCCACAGGGCACCTGTCCCTGTTGTGAGTGGCTGTCAGCCACCATTTCACACAGCACCCGGGCTCAAAGCAGCACCCACCAAAACCCAGAGTTTTGGCTCCAGCATTTGCTATGTAAAATCATTTTACAGCAGCGAGCCACAGGCAAATATACAAACTTGGTGCAGAGAAGCACAGAAACACTCCCCAGTGCCAGCTGAGCCCAGCGCCCTCTGTGCTGAGCGCTGCACCATTACAGGGGCTGGGGTCCAGTGAGGAACTCAGTCCCTGCCGGAGGCTTCTGCACTAGAGGGAAACAAACTCCAAAGGAACAGTGCACACCAGGGACACAGGCTGGGGGGGGGCGGTGTTTCGGTGTCACCTCCCCCCAAGGCCCAAGAGAGAAATATGAACTGCCTGTGCTGGGCTCTGTTTTATATACACATACAAGTATCCACACCTGTACATACTCTCCAACGGGCCCCTGTTATGCTGCTCAGGTAGACCCCACATCCCCCTAGGCTGCTGAGAAGGGACCACCATTGTGCCTGGCCTCTTTGTTACAGACTTCTCCTGCTCAGTCTTTGATTCTGGGCTAGAACAGCTGCTCTCTTTAGCTGTCAATAGGTGCTCTAAGGCACTACTAACGGATGGAGCCAGGTCACCTGTGTGGGTGTGTGTAGACATGTCCAGGGGCCATCGCTGTTTACATCTGCACACACACATTAATCTTAGGTGGCATTGAGCCTCTCTAAGAACTCCCAATAAGTTTCGGGCAGTTTGCCCTTAGGTGCTTGGTATTTTTTTTAGATCTGCTTTTTAAAGGTTTTACTTTTGTGGATGGATGTCTTGCCTGCATCTGAGTGTACCTTGCCGCACCCTCTGGAGCTAAGTGACAGCCGGTTGTGAACACCATGTGGGTACTATGCAAGAGCAGTGAGTGCTCTTAACTCCTGAGCCATCTCTCCAGCCCCACGTGCATGGCATTCCCAAGGACTGTTCTGGAAAACCCTGTCATCTTAGCAGGCAGCCCGTTGTAGTAAGCACATGCGGGCCGTGGGGCGTGTGGGTAGAACTGCCTTCGCTGTTTACTAGGCAAGGGAAGTCCCCCACCTCCACCTGCTGCTGCCACTGAGGACTTGCTCTGGGGTCTCACTCACCCTCAAGACCCGTGTTTGCACTTATGTTCATGTCCCGGCCTTCACTGTCCCACGCGCTAACAGGCCTGGCCTCTCGGTAGGTTGTCCTGTCAGAAGGAGCTCTCCCGGTGGGGACACAGGGTGAGCAGTGCTGGGTTGGATGTTTAAACTGCCACAGTATGAAGGCCACATCCGTCATTCTCATCTCTTCTGGTCTGAACTGAGAGCTCTGGGACTAACAGTCCACCTGGGGCCACTGGACTCACTAGATGTCCCGCCTATGAAGGATGCTCACGGGAATCATTCTCAAGTTAGTACAGGCAGCTGCAGACAGCACCATACACCCTGGTGGTTGACACTTTGCTTTGTAAGGATGCTGAGAAGGTACTGAACACCTGCTGGAGAGCAGCTGGCTGGCTATCAAAGTGATACAGAAAGGCCGTAGACAGGGATGCAGGGTGTTCATGAGAAGGCCGGCTGTATGCACATGGTCTGTGTGCTCGCCAGCTCCCTCGTTACTGCATGACTCCAAAAGGACGAGAGTGCACTGCGCTTCCCCAGGCCACACAGACTTCGAGAGAGTCCCTTCCCCACAGCGTCAGTCACTTCTGAGTTCTAGGCAGAAGCCTCTGCTTGGAAAGCTAGGGGTTAGGAAGTGCTAGTGTATGTAGTAACAGTACCTCTGAGACACCTTAGGGTATGTAGGGTTAAAAAGCCGAGTGCATGGCCTTGGTATCTCCTAGAATATGAACACAGAGACAACACCAGATGGCATGTGTAGCAGCGAGCCACGCTTGTGGCATAAGACAGCACCTGGGGTCTTCAGCTGCCCGCAGAGACAGGCCGCCACCTTCAGACTGTGGCCGTCCGAGCAACGCAGGAGAGCTGCTGTGCCTGCAGGGCTGTTGGGCTCTGAAGATGCTTCTGCTTTCTCAAGAAGCAGACTCCCTCTCACAGGTCCCGGGAGAGCAAGACATGTCCCATGGATTCCCCCTGGGACCCTCCAAGAGCCCACTGTGGGCGGACACAGCCCTATGGCCTGAGCCTGAGCTGCTTTCGCTCCCGGTACTTCCCTCTTCGTTAGAATAGTTCCCCGAGTCCTGGCTGCTCTGGGAAGTGTGCTTTCTGCAATCTTCCTGGGGAATGATATTTCCTTCAGTTACAGCAACAGTGTCTGTGTTTTCAATGATGAAGCATTGCTCGGTGTGTTCCTCAGGAGTCAAAAAGAGGAGGTTTTTTGAAGACGGCTCAGAGAAAAACTAATGGTAAAAAGAAAAGGAACATGGTTGTTTAAGGTAAGAACTGACTTTCAGTTCTAACTTCTCTGCTTTCTTACGCCCAACAGTAGCAGACCCGCAGCTGAGCCACACCCAGCAATGCACTGGCAGGGCTCTGGAGGTACAGTGAGACCGGCAGAGTGAAGGTCTTTTTTGGGTAAGTCTGTGAGGGCCTAGACAGACGCTGGGGTAGGGTCACTGGGATCACAGACGCTCTGAAGTAACCAAACCCAGTGACAAGTGAGGGACGAACGTGTCCCTGCCGGTCTAGCTGGTCAGGAGCTGGCTCTGTTTAGGTCATGCTGTCACTACCAGAGCACACAGGGGAGAATGCTGAGCTCTGAGGGCATCGGGCCCCTAGTTCCTTAGGGCTCGGATATGGGGGCCTCTGCTTCTCTAGCAGAGCTTGCAGCAAGGCCACCAACCCTGGCCTGGAGCTTTTTATCCAAAGCCTGACTTCTGGCTGTACCACTCCACCAGGCCAGCCTGCACTGGCCCTGGGTCACAGGTTCTAGGACCTCTGTCACCTCAGGCGCTGACCTTACAGGAGGCCAAGAGAAACACTCAAGCACCATGAAAGGAAACTCATGGTTTTGGTCTCGCCTGTGACTTTACCCAGGGAGCAAGGGAGACAGACACATAACAGGGCTTGTGAGGCGGCGCTGAAAACCACACAGGTGGAGAACGGGAAGACAAATGCCCCTGCGCAAGAGGCCAGAGAGTGGCCAGGGGACAGGTACTGTGGACAGTCGGGGGCCGTGCAGGCCGACCATGGGTCTAAGGCAGCTCCTGTCTCAGACTCACACATGTTCACCTCCAGTGTCTGCCTGCCTAGACTGCTCATCTGGAGCATGCTAGGCCCTATCACCCCGTGACGAGGACACAGGAGGAGGTCCCTAGTGTTTAGACCCTGGTATCAAGTGCCTGTGCTGGGAACAGGAAGTCTGAAGCCTCATTCATAGAGAAAATGTCCTGTCCCAGACTCTGCATCTAGACTCAGGACTGTTAGGGCTTCTCTGGTCATTTCTGGGGGATGACATAAGTGCCACTTTGATGATGCTCTTATCTCCTGTCCACTTTCACATTGGTTGTTACATACATGTACAGAACAGCTATAATGCATTAAGCTATTGTTTTGAAAAAAAAATAATTTTTTGAAACAGGGTTTCACTGTACAGCCCTGCCTGACCCCAAATTCACAGAGATCCCCTTGCCTCTGCCTCCTAAGTGCTGAGGTCAAAGGAGGGTGCCACCACCCCCTGGTGTGTGACAGGCTGTCTCTGGAGCCCTGGCTGGCCTGGAGCTTCCGAAACCCTCTTGTTTTTGGAGATACTCGGCTCATGCTGGCCTCAAACTCACTGCAATCCTGTCTCAGCTTCCTGAGTCTTACAGGCACGCACTACCATACCAGGCTTCCAACACTGCTGGGATTCTGCTGGGATTCTAACAACCCACCCTCTCGGCACAGGTTACTTTCTACACATCAAGAAAGCACAGATCTGTGGAATCCGAACATTTGCTCCCTATTTCCTAGCTCATGATCAGAGAACGTACCTCATCGATGCTGGGGGGAGGCTTGGGCGATGAAAAGAACACATAATTGAGATATTTCAGGAGGTTCTTTCCAGCATAAAGGACCAGGAAAGAAAAAAACAGAGTGCCAAATCCAGTTATGATCCAGGTCATGGGAGAAGAATTTCCTAAAACACATAACGATATGAGCATCAGTACACTCTTGTGAGGGCAGCCACAGGGAGGAAACTGGCCCGAGAGCCCTCCTGGCTGGCACGTAATGTACACTGTAGGCAGTGACGGTCTCACCGGAAGAATGTCCTGAGAACTGAGTCTGGGCTCAAGGAAAGAACAGTCGGAACAGAGAGGTCCCCTCAGCTGGTGTCCCCAGCACCACAGCTCGGGACCCACAGTCTGCACAGCCTTCAGTGGCTAAGCCAGTCGCCTCCAGGAACAAAAATACAAAAGAGACGAAAAGCACTGGTGCATCAAAATGAACAACAAACGTTCATTTCCGCAAGTTCACTCAAGACTACACAATGGAAACCTCACAAGTGAGCGATCTGGTGGTTTGCAATTGTGTGAGCCCCGGGCGAAGAACAGAGCAGTAGGAAGCATGGACCGAACTGAGAGGAGAGTTGCCTGGCCCCGCAGAACCCCTGTGGTCCAGGAAGGATATGTTCTACCATTTGACGCAAACACATTCTTCACCAGTCCCAATGCAGTGTTTTATCATGGAGATCCTCACCTGGCCTGGTCATCTTACACAGCATGTCACTGAAGTCACTACTCTTGTTCCACAGGGAGAAGGAGAGCACTCTGGCCTGCACACAATACACAGTCTGTGGTTGCAGGTTCACAATGGCAAACTCTGGGCTTTCCTTCACCATTTTCCTCTATAAAAATAATAAAATCCATGATAAAGTCCAGCCGCCTTAGGAAAATCAGATAGAAAGAGAATCCAGGAAACACATTCTCTATTACTGACTGGTCTCTTCCACACTCCTAGTTGGGATGTTGTCTATAAGCTTGTTTTAAGTAACCCATTAAAACCAAATCAAAGTTAAACATCTGTTGCCTTCCTCAGTTAAGAGTAAGGGTCCCAGCCTCACTCTATTGCAAGCCACAGCAGCGCTGTGTGACGGCCTTTCCCCATGCCACAGCAGCGCTGTGTGACGGCCTTTCCCGATGCCACAGCTGCTTTTCTTCCCACTAGGGCACAAACTGACTAGGGTTGTTTCCTCTAAGGCCTGGCCCACCAGTGTTATCCTCTGTGTCTCAGAGGCCAAGCACATCCCTCTGTCACCCAGGTGATGCACAGAGTCCAGACCATGCCATCAGGCACACTTGGGCTTCTGTTCACACCTAGGTACTCAGGCTTTAGCATCAGTGAAGAACTGAGCAACACCCATGTTCGCAAATTAATTGCAAACACAGACAGGCCAAGTCATGTAAAAACCTCAGTATAAGTCAGCATCCGAGTTACTGCTGTGATTTCAGGGGTCTGCAGAGACAGCACAGCCTGAGATGTACTGAGTCTATGCCGGGTATTTTCATACGCCACCTCATTTCAAACCTGGAGCTTCCTTTCCTCTGGGGTCCACAAAATTCACCATAACCAGGACTCTGTCTTCTAAGAACCCAAGTCTGTCCCCACTGAGCTGCAGTTGAGGACATGTGAAAGACACATCTCTGAGGGAGCGCTGCGGCCACCAGAGCTATCCAATGAAGTAAGGACAGCTTCACCACAAGGGATTACCTGGCCCAAATGTCATTCTTGCAAAGGAACCTTAGTTTAGAAGAGTATTTGGGGACCATGGTAAAAATGGTTATAATTCTGTAGCAATTGACTCAGAATGTATTTCAAAAGCAAACGAGAGGGTTGGCCAGATGGCCCAGTGGGTAAAGGTGCTTGCTGAAAAGCCTGAGTTCAGTTCCTGGGAGGGATAAGGTGAATCACTTCACAACCTGTCCCAGACCTCCACGAGTGCCCTACGATACACATACAGTGGATAACTGTAAACATGCAGACACAGACATGCATGCTGTGGAACAGAGTGTTTAACTATGTAAAGATGTGCTGCTGTTTCATCTTCCCTGTTTAAGGCACCTGACTGGTCTAATAAAAAGCTGAACAGCCAATAGCTAGGCAGAGGAGGGATGGGCAGGCTGGCAGGCAGAGAGAAAAGGGAAGCCTGCCAGCCAGCTGGGGGCCAGGCCTCCGTCAGTCAGGCACAGAGGAAGCAGGGCAGTACATAGGTGAGGTAAATGGTAAGTGAGCCTTGGGGCAGGCAGCACACAGATTAATAGAAATGGGTTAATTTGAGTTAAACAAAACAAAACAAACGAGCTAGAAACAAGCCTAAGGCTGAGCATTCATAATTAAGTCTCTGTGTTGTCATTTGGGACCTGGCAGACCAAGAAAGTCTGCTACTCACACAGACATGCACACTCACACAGCACACACGCACACTCACACACACACACGCACACTCACACACAGACAGGCACACACGCACACTCACACGCACACAGCTGGACTCACACACAACAAAGTAGGTCCCAGACGCAGGGACCGGAATCTGACATTCACTCTACTCTGCACACAGCTGCAGACAAATGTTTAAAAGATCTTCCCCAAACCTTAAAGCCGTGGTTTTTCATTCTCTCCCTGTCCTTCCTTGCTGTTTCTTTCCCAAATCACAGTTACGAGGCTAAGTCACAAAGTTACTGTGGAGGCTTCTTACCTTCGTATTTGAAGTCTTTTCCCAAAAAACGATTTCGTAAGTTAGCCCATGACACTCGATGCTGGAATCGTCTTGACAGGTGACATAAGCGAGCAGTGAGTCCCTAGTGGAGCTGACAGCAATGACTGGGGGAGGGATGGTAGCTGGGAAAGACATGTAAAGACAGTATGGGATTACATTTCTTAAAACAATGTTTACAAACGAACTAAATGAGGTAATTACAGCCTCAAGTAAAAAAATTGATGCAAGGCATGCATGAACCACACCCTTAACCTCTACTCTCAGGAGCTCGGGCAGGAGAATTGTCATGAGTTTGAAGCCAGCTGGGCTACACAAGGAGTTTCTGGCCAGCCGTGGCTACAGTATTAGATGCTGTCTCAAAGAAAACTTGACTTACCGAATTTGTTGGAATCAATCAATTTATCTTCAGACCAAAAGGATGTTTGATTTCCACTGAATGCTTGTACCCGGAGAAAGAATGTTCCTGTGTGGATGGTGTTTTGAGGAAAGACACAGTGCGTCGTTTTGACATCTGCACAGGCAGGTATTGGTTTCCATTCATTTAAAGAGCTTCCAGGAACACTTTTAGAGTAGCCACTTTGCAAGAACAAACAAGAGGTTAAATTCAACATGAACTCGGTAAATACGTACTGAGATTTATAATACTGTCTTATAACATGCCGGGCTGCACCAAGTGAACACTATGGCCCCAGGGACCCCTTCCCCACGGAGGAGACACTGGTCCCCAACAAAGGAGAGTGGGAGACGCTCCAGAGTGTGCATAAACTTCTTGGTGATGTGGCAAGCTGTCCCTCACTGTGTGAGTGTATGTGAGTCTATTTGCATGCGTGTTTATGTAGACCTGAAGTTGATGCTGGCTGTCTTGATCTCTCCAGTTTACCCAGGCAGCTTGCTGATGTGACCAGTATAGCTAGCCAGCCTGCCCCAGAACTCCCTGTCTGACTGTCAGGGGTTTGGACTACAGATGCTGCCACTCCCTGCTTCCCAATGCACCACACCCACCTCTCAGTCAGTCACTCTGTGTGACAGCTGCACACAGAAGGAGCGTGAATGCACATCGAGGTAAACGGGGTAAGAACACGTAGGAAGGAACTCACGGGAGCCACTGTGCTCGGTAGCTCGCGTCTGCAGACGCACAGTCCCATTTCAGAACATAGCTCGCACCATGGACATCCATTTCTATATTTTCCGGCACAGGCATCTTATTTGCCTCTAGAAGCCAAAGAATCCATTAAACATATATTTTAAACTAGTGGGACAGAACCATCTTTATCGTGTTTGATTCTACTAGATAAAACACACTAAACTTATCATTAAACCCACGAGCCAGCTCCTACCCCATCTTAATTACTGGCGAGGTTAGCAGTGACTAAGTATTTCAGCTGTTTTCATCTGCGGGGTATGGTCCGGGTGCCAACTACATGATGGTTACAGGCAAATAAAAAGCATTTGTGATACTATACAAATTTAACCTTTAAGTAGAATTAATTTTCATTAGTATGGAGACAAAAATTTCAAAGTAAATGACTTGATTCTGTAAATACTGTTATGCTTCTGTGCTTTTGTGTCTGTGCTAGACAAGTGTTCAATCACACATCCATACCCAATGATCTGTTCTAATAATAACTGCAGTTAGAGGAGAAAATGCTGTCAATATTTGGCATTGATGTAAAGTCAGGGCTGTTCCTTACCCGTGGTGTTGATACATTGCACCGCACTATAACTGCTTTGATTCTTATGGGATTTATGTATCGCTTCAACTTTTAAACAGTAAGTAGTCTCTGGTAACAGCTTTAAAATCTTTTCTGTGTAATAAAAAGTTGTAATATTTTTCTGCAAACAAAGGACAAAAGCATACAGTCAAGTTTTAGCATTCGCTCACCACCTTCTCCCCCATTGAACCAAGGTAAAAACAGAAACTCACTGACACACCCGAAGACTTCTGCCAGATCTCTATCCTGTATTGGAACTGCATAACATCCTTGTCCCACATCTTCCCGCCCTGTCCGGGGTGAGAGATGTAGACAACTATCGCTTGATCTTCAGCTTCTAAACGTACTCCCGGGGGTCCAATGCGAGCTGTTGACATCAGAGAAGTTATGTAACTAACTGCAGCAGCACCACTCCAGAAGTTCACAATAAACAATGTTGTCCCATGTGGTCACACAGAGGAAGGCCCTCAAGGTCATACACTTTGGGAGGACATGGCAAGAACAGTCCCCAAACAAAGGCATGCAGGCATGCAGTGCAGAGACGCATAAAGACATGCAGGGCAGAGAGACAGAAAGACATGCAGTACAGAGAGACAGACATGCAGGGCAGAGAGACAGAAAGACATGCAGGGCAGAGAGACAGACATGCAGGGCAGAGAGACGCATAAAGAGTTGGGGATGGGACCAACAGGGCAAGGAATCAGTGAGATCAGCAAGAAACCACGTGAAGTCAACAAGAGCCGGATGGAATGTGCTGACAAATAAAATGTAGGAGAGCGGACTGCGCTTGAGCAAGCTACCCACTAATGTCATTCCCTGGGATGGTGAGGTCCCCCTTCCCCTGCGGGAAGGGCTGTGAGGGCGACTACGGGGTGGCTTGAACAGAGGTGGACACTGGACGGAGAGGGTGACTTCAGAGGGGACAATGAGCAGGGAATGCAAGGCTGCAGTCAAGAACGGTTTACTGACTGGGCCTGGGGCCTGCTGCAGTCCGACCTTGACATCTGGAGAAGAGAACAAAAGAAACAGAGAGAGGAACACTGGAGCCTCGGGAACCAGCAGGGCCCTGGTGAGGCTGGAGAGGGAGGGCATCCTGGAGGGGGCGGAGCGTGTGCAGGCTGGAGAGGGAGGGCATCCTGGAGGGGGCAGAGCGTGTGCAGGCTGGGGTAAAGAGCACCAGAGCCTGAGCACTGTGACAAGAGGGTGGCCCTGACCAGCTCTGCAGAAGGAGAAAGGAACGGGAGAAACGACAGACAGTGTACAGGCCATCCCTTTCTACACTGCAACAAGACAGTGTTTCTGGAATCTGGTCTCTAGACCTCTTCCTGCTGTACAGAAATCATAGATGCTGTGACAGACTTGTTTACACTGGACATGTGCTTTGGCACTCAGCACTCTGACCACTAAAACAGGTAAAAATCACAAAATGCTTGTGAATTCACAAAGATGATAAACTATAAGATACAGTTACAAAACTACATTTCCAAAAAAAAGATTTTAAGGTGTGATACTGCTCTACGTTAAAAAAAAACCCTCACTAACATGTGGGCTAACCAACCCAGACCCCCATGTCTACAGTCAGGAAGTTCACACCACATGTCTAGTGTCCTTTCAAAAATTCCTTTGTTTACAGAGATAATCAAAATGAAGGAGGAATAAAGTCTCTGGATTCCTAGGGAGAGTCATGACTTCAAGGGACTCCTAAAGGCTCTTGGCGACCACACTTGGAGAGCCACCAATACAGGAGACCAGAAAAACACGGCCTTAGGGGAAGGCAGCAGCACCACGCAGGGGAATGGGTCACACAGAGAATTCTGGGGACATTCACTAGAGAACAACAATGCAGCCAGCAAGCTCTCTTACCTCTGCAAAATGGAATAAACGGGTCAATCTCAGCCCATGAAGAAGCACTACTGTCTGCTTCAGCTCTTACACGAAACTTTATTTTCACATAAATATTTGTGTCCAGTAAAGAGAATTCGCATTTGGTCCCTGTAACATGTTGACACCCAGGCAATTTTAACCAGTCCTCCATCTCTTCTCTTTTAATTGAGGAAACAAAACAAAACAGACAGAGTGAGCTATTGACTACAGAAGTTTCAAATACATCTTCGACTCAACAGCATGGTTAGCTAAAGAGTTTATTTGCTATGGATCACTATGTGCTGAGTGTGTTTGAGTAAATGAAGGGCCAGGGACCAAAAAACAAAACAAAAACCGACAAAAACCAATGGATGCACCTAAAAGGCCACGTGTGGCAAAGGGCAGGCAATTTGCTATACAAATTGTGCCCGAGAGCAAGGCCATTAAGAAGCTTGTTATTTGGAATAGGAGAGGCTACTGCCTCAAGGATTTTCTGTTTGTTTCTTTTTCAAGTTTTCTCTATAGAACAGCTCTGGCTGTATTGGAACTTGCTTTGTAGACCAGGCAGGCCTCGAACTCATAGAGCTCCATCTGCCTTTGTCTGCCAAGTGCTGGGATTAAAGGTGTGAGCTGCCGCTGCCACCGCCACCACCATTAGCTTATTTAGTCAGTTTTTAACAGGATTTTCTGTAAGGAGTACGGTTTTTCCGCCCGCCGCTTGGTCTTGTCCTGTTGCCGCGCTGCCAGCCCCAAATAACACACAGAGACTCTGTATTTGATATAATTCTGTTGACCCGGTTACTTGTTTCTTATCGGCTAGCTCTGTCTTAATTATTAACCCATTTTTGTTGATTTATGTATTTCTCTTACCAGGGAGCCGGGGGCATACTGCTTTCTCCCGACTCTCCATCTTGGCTCCTCCTTACCACTTCCTATTTCCTCCTTATCTCCTAGCCCCTCCTGTCTTCCTTTCCTATTGGCCAACAATTTTCACTTCAATTTTATGAGTGGTTCCATTAGCATTTCAGGGAGACAGGAATAAATGATCCATGAGACAAAACAGATTTGGCCGGCCTGGTTCAAGACAGCTTGTGACTCCTGGGAAATGAACCTGTATCTCTGGACTTTAACTTGCTTATTATAGACTGGGAATTGATCTGGTGACCCCTCGTGACTCTCTGTGTACAGGCTGCCTGTCCTAGGACAGACCTTGGAATTGTGGGGTGTCACAGACCTGTCACTCTTTCCGTTTCTTCTAAAATTATGTATCTATGTATGTATGTGTGCGTGGACACATGTATGTTATTGTGGGTACCTGTAAGGAGCTGGTGTTACAGGTGTTGAGGCTGCCTGACCTGTGCCAAGCACCCAGGTTGGGTTGTCAAGACCAGCGCCTTTCCATGCTGAGGCCTCGCTAGACCCCAGTTCTATCGCACCTCCAGAAAACACATCTTGGCATGTCAACAGAAACAAATGGATTCCAGTGGAAATGTACCATCACATAAATTTAGGTGACTGGTATCAATAGTTAAAATGGCTACATGGCTGGGGACAGTGGCCCATATTTAGGATCCTAGCACTGGGGGAGGCTAAGGCAGGGGGATTGGACCTTTGAGGCCAGCTGGGCAACAGTAAGTTTGAAATCACTCTAGGCTATACAGTAAGAGTCCACAAACAAACATTTAAACAAAGAAAAATAATAAGTAGTAAAAATTCAATTAAAAAATGTGGTGGTGGTGTGGCTCAGTGGCCACAGGCAACACCTTGACTCAGTGTGACTGACAAAATGACTGACTACATGATTACTAAACTAGCCGCACTGTCCTTTGAACCGACTGTTATCTCTGTCTCCTTTCATGTTCCTGGAGATGTGGTTTACCTGTCAATGAATGGCTACTGAGTTCAAGCTTCTTACAGTGGGAATTACTTTACCATTTACAATAAAAGACTCATTCATAATCTTAGTCTCAAGAAGTATCTTCATGCCCCTTTATGGTTCCTCCCAACAGAGCCATTTGAGCACTCAGGGAGGATACACGACGTAAAAGGCTTTCGGTATCTGCTAAACAAACAAACAACAAACACTGTGTGTGCTAAGTCTGCTCACACTTTAGGTCCATTCCCATCAGTTTCCTGAGCAATTCAGCTTTTATTTTACTTAGATAAATGTTTTTATTTTATTTAAAACACTTAAAAATTATTTATGTGGTTATGTTTATGTAAATACCTACAGATACCTCTGGAGACAATTGGGAGCTGCCTGACCTGGGTGATAGGAACTTACCTTGGTCCCCTGGAAGAGCAATGAGTGCTCTGAATTGCCGACTTCTCTCCCCAACCCCACTGAGTACTTAATATAAAATCACTCACTTGGTTATCAGAACATTAGAGTTAAGCTCACCATCACCATCACCACTACCATCATCACCATCATCATCACCACTACCACCATCATCACCATCACCATCATCACCACCTGTAGTGAGGTAGTCCTTCTGTAGCACTGACCACGCCCATTGGGGGGTGGAGCGATGGGCGGAGGTGACATCCAAAAGGTGTCGTTGCATATCAGTGGGAACCAATACATATGAAAGATTTAAAAGGTATAAAGGAAGCAGTAGTCTCTTATGGCATGTACTCACCTTATGTGAAGCAATTAGTAGAATCATGGGCATGGAATAACAAGGTAACCCCTAAGGATTGGGATCAATTAATATCAGCTGTCCTTGAAAGCTCCTCTCAAATAGAATGGAGGGCTTTATGGAGAGAGGAAGCAAAAGCTCTTGAACTTCAGGGCTTAAAGAAAGGGTATAAAGCTCCCCAAGATAAAATTCTTGGTGAGGGTCTCTATGCTGACCCAGAAACCCAAGCTGCCTATGATGAACACATCTTGTCTCTATGCAGTACAGCAGCTTTGAATGCTTGGGATAAGGTTCATGAATTAGGAGAGAGGATAGAACCCTATACCAAGATAAAGCAAGGACCTAGAGAACGTTTTAGTATCTTTCTAGAAAGATTATCTAGGGCAGTACAATTAGAGATAGCAGACATAGATGCTAGGCGAATACTCATAGAATCTTTAGCTTATACGAATGCGAATCCTAAATGCAAACAGGTGCTTTGGCCTTTAAAAATGCGATCAGCACCCTTGGATGAATGGGTCCTATATACAGGCAACATTGAGTATAATGACAATAAGACTGAAGCATGGATAGGAGAAGCCATATCTAAAGGTCAGAGAAGATATCAAGATAACAGAGTTCCTTACTATGGTGACTTAGAAGCTTGGGTAGGAGAAGCCATCCCCAAAGGTTTGAAAAGATATCATAATGTCAGATGTTATAACTGTGGTAAGATAGGACATCTAAAAAGAAATTGTAGACAAAGCTTCCCTAGAAATAACACCCCCAGGAATGAATCAAACAGAAGGCCTCAGCCTCCTGGGTTATGTAGAAGGTGTGGCAAAGGCAGACACTGGACAAATGAGTGTAGATCGACCAGAGACAAGCAAGGAAACCCTTTACCATCGGGAAACTCCTTGGGGGGCCTCTCGAAGGCCCCCACGTCACAGGTGGTTTGAACATTCCCAGTCACAGTGGAAGACAATCTCCCACAGGACAATTAGAAAATTCTGTGCCTATTATAAAAACTCATACTGCTCTGGATGACGAACTAGTGACGGAAGTTGAATCAAACATGACAGAAGGAAATGAAAAACGTATATTTTGGCAAACTGCTATAAATAGTCATAGGCCTAGATTGATAGTTAAGATGAATAATAGACTGTTTGAGGGTCTCCTGGACACAGGAGCTGATGTAACTATCATATCTAATAAATCTTGGCCTCAAAGATGGCCCCTGCATGAGGTAAATGTTCAATTCTTAGGGATTGGAACCCTGTCTCAGGTAAAACAAAGCACGAGATGGATTGAATGTATAGGACCAGAAGGACAGAGAGGGAAGTTGAGACCATATGTGGCTGATGTAGTGATAAATTTATGGGGTCGTGATCTATTACAGCAATGGAATACACAGATTAACATTCCTCCTGTATTAGATAGGAACCATAGACGACCTCATGATTGTGGAAAGAATACTGTTAAGTACTATACAAGACAGATACCAAATATCCAGGCAGTACAAAAACAGAATACAAGTGCTGAACAAACAGAGGAACCAAAAGCCCTACCTTTAAAATGGCTAACAGAGGAACCTGTCTGGGTAGGACAATGGCCTATGACCTCTGAGAAGTTAGAAGCTTTAGAAAGCCTGGTTCAGGAACAGCTAAATGCTGGACATATTGAGAAATCAACCAGCCCTTGGAATTCTCCTGTATTTGTGATCAAAAAGAAATCTGGTAAATGGAGAATGCTTACAGACCTGAGAGCCATCAATAAAGTTATCCAGCCAATGGGCTCTCTACAGCCTGGAATGCCCTTGCCTTCTTTGATACCCAAAGAATGGCCTATTATAGTTATTGATTTAAAGGATTGCTTCTTCACTATACCTTTACAAGAACAAGACAAAGAGAAATTTGCCTTCACGGTACCTAATTATAATAATTCTCAACCGGTGAAGAGATATCAATGGAAGGTTTTGCCACAGGGAATGCTAAATAGCCCCACCCTGTGCCAATATTTCGTACAAAAACCGTTAGAAATAATTCGTAAACAGTTTCCACAATCCATAATCTATCATTACATGGATGATATATTGTTAGCTGACTCTAAAGGAGAAATATTAGAAAAAATGTTTGAGAAAGTAAAGGAAGTTTTACCTCGCTGGGGATTACAAATTGCACCTGAAAAAATACAAAAAGGAGAGTCTATCAACTACTTAGGATATAAAATAGGTCTACAGAAAATTAGACCACAAAAAGTACAGATCAGAAGAGATCGCTACCAGACTCTTAATGATCTTCAAAAATTACTAGGAGAGATTTCTCAACTGCAAACCATAATTGGAGTAGAAGGGCATGATTTGAAAAACTTGAAAATGGCCCTAAAAGGAGATAAGGACTTGAATAGTCCACGAATACTATCAGCTGAAGCTGAGAAGGAATTAGAATGGGTAGAAAAGAGGATACTAGAAGCACATGTGGACCGTGTGGATCCAAACCTAGACTGTATTCTGGTTATATTACCATCTAGAGAATATCCTTCAGGGATTTTGATGCAGA